GGAGGCAGCCTGGATCCGAGTCTGCTTAATTTGGAACAACAGTGAAAGTTTTCCCAGCGCATCACCGCTGGTCTATTGTATTGTAGAGGAGCATCAGTCGTGAACGTTCGGCTTTCCGACCCGTCTCAGTCAACAACGCAGGCCAATACAATGGTGCATGCTTTAATGATGGAAGCAAGACTGCAAGATTTGTGCGATGGTGCGTATGCATATGCGTAGCTAAGCCATACGCTCTGTGGCTACCAGGCACCCAAGGGAAGCAGAGTAGGATCCCTGCAATGCGCTAGGTGTGAGGAGATGCGGGATGGGGCGTTCAGTCGGGGTTGGCCGGGGTATCCAGGGCAGAAACAAAGGGCGACAAGGGTGTTCGTAACTTTAAATAGACATGGCTCCCCATTTAGTTGGTACCGTGTACTACTGCTATTACCCTCTGGTTATGTTGCATTGAGCCTGGCCCACCCTACCAGCAGTAGGCGAGAGCGACTTCAAACCGAGAAGGCGGCGACCAATTTTACACGGCAACATGTTTCTCAGGCGGAAAAACGCATTTCGAACCACTCAGGTCGAACTAACCACAAAGTCCCAACTGGTGTGCTACTTGGACCGAGATCCTGATAGTGACTATATGGAACTTGCCACTATGCACACGACGCAGCAAAACGCGGCGTGGGTTGGACAGCACCGCAAGCACAACAGCCGTCAGCTGGCTGTCATACAACCTGTGACCAATGAAGAGTTTACAGACTTCAAGGTTCTGGCGGGCCTCGCTCATCCCAATATTGCACGGCTCCGAGCGCTGTACCACAAGGGCGGTGCTGTTCATGTCGTTTATGAGTATGTCGAGCTTGACATTTTCGATATATGACCGTTGTCAGAGCCCGAGATCGCCGAGGCTATGTCTCAGGTGAGTGCATTGTCCTCATGCACGGACGGAATGCTTGACCATGGGTAGATTATCTCGGCCGTTCGCAAACTTTTGGCGATGTCCATCAGCTTCGCCATTGCTTGCATCCGCGTGACCTCTGCAGGGACAATCAAGATTGGTGAGGGTTCTGGACCCAGCAACGTGGGACAAAACGGATCAACGGCCTAACTTGGTTCTCAAGTGCTTGATTGGACGTACGAGTCTGTCCGTGAACCTAGCATCCAGGAAGCGCTCCGCAGTCATATCGCGATTTGGCTTCACGAGACTATGCAAAGGTTGGGTTGCGGTCGCCAGCATTGGACATCAGACGCCCTGGCAGTTTTCGAACAGCTCAACGCTGGGCACTTACCAATGATTACCGTAGGTTCCAAAACCTGCCACGACAAGTACATCACTGAACCGGACACAGGATCCATTTTTCGCCAATGTTCGACCTTTGCGAGAAGCAACCCAGTATGCCATCCGAAGACGCCTGGCAATATCATGAGCATGCTGGTACCATCGCCACGCGGTCTGAAGGACCAGTCCACTCGAAGTTGCCGCAATGAAGGCGTCCGTCATCCTGAGTCTTATTGCAACCGCTTTGTGTGCCCAAGAGGGTACATATACCTGTCATTACACAGTTACTCTTGCCAAATCACGCACAGCGACCACTTCCGATGCGTGTGACGAGCCCAGCGTCGTAACATGTGTCACCACCCGCACTACCACGAGAACAGTCGAAAATGCTGCTACGCATACTGGGTCAACGGCGAGCGCATAAAGTCTGACCAACTTGCCCTACTTGGAGACACCTTTTGTGGTGGCCTTCTCGTACACGGCGTGAAGTGGCACTGGCGGCGAGCACAGAACGCTCGAAAAACATGGATGGGTCACTGGCACAACTGATTATTCCGTTCTCTTTGTGTTCTGTCGATTAGCCTGTGTGGATATTTAGTTGGTCTTTCCCACAATGTCAAGTATTTCCTCTTGCGAATCGTGATCCCTACCGAGAGGCCCATTTCACAACATTAGATGAGAGATGCCGAGTAGTGGCAAATGAGAGAGATATCAAAATAGTAAACAGCTAGGTTCGGGAGTCGATTGCCGTATTGCTGCGTTGTTCAGTGTGATTTATGTTCTCTACCGGGCGTTGATGAGACCTCGCCTTGGACTTACAGGTTTTTGCCGGGCACGTTGTATCCCAAGCAGACTTTTACTATTCTACCTAAATCTGGCATTTTCAACTTATGCCATATTACTAAAAACTCATTAGTATATGTAGCAGCGAGAAAAGAAGACACAGTCTAGCTAATGCTTGGCTTTGAATGGCATCTGCGGCCACAATCATTGTTGTTGGCGACGGGCTTTGCCACCTCTGTGTAGGCGACGGGCTATGCCACCTATGTGAAGCATTTTGACTGGGGATTGTAGAAGAGACACTTGGCCTCCAAACATCCGTGGCCATCCACGGCAGAGAGGTCCCGTATGAGGCCCTTGACTGCGCCATGGACGAGTTTAATGTTATAAAAGTGGTGCTCTTCGTGGCGCTAGTATGATTTACAATCTGTGAATACAGCTGAGAATGAGAGACAGCCGTAGTATTTGCCCAAGGCTGCCACGGTCTCGTCAACGTGCACATACTTGTGGCTTTCCATTGCGAGTCGGATCTAAGAGGAAGTGAAGGGCTCTCTATAACGCTTTAAATACAGGCTGCAGCAGTCAATAGTTGCTCACGGCCAATTCCGTCTCCTCGTCGTTGAACTTGAACTTCGGAGTGCTGAATACTGTACAGTAGTTTGGTACTGGTACGTGGACACTTTTGAGCTGATAGCGTCTCAAACGCGGTGCTACAGAAACATGCTGATGCGGCCCTGTTGTTGTCCAACAATACCGCTTAAGGATTTGGCCTTTGTGCTATTACAATTGTCACTCTCTTCGCACGCAGAGTCTCTCCTTGCCTCACTCATTTACCTGTATCAAATGCCTGCTTTGACCGACGGACCGCTTAGCAAAAGAATCCTGTTACAAACGCCATGGTCGCCCAACGTGGCCGTTCAGGAGATTTTGTGTTCAGTACAGACGGAGCATGGACAATTTCTCGGTGTTAAGATCGACTTGCCCATGGGTGATTCTTGGCCGGGTAACGCCGATGCATTGCACTGGTTGTACCGTGACAAAAATTGCCTTCGGCTATGGCAGGAAATCCAGCAGCGACCACGTGCTGCGGATGTCAGCCCCCCAGAAATAGAACGCGTTCTCGCGCATTACGAAACGCAAGACAATAGAGTTTATTACGCTATCAAGTGGTGTCACTACGCCTGCCCGACGTGGGAGCTGGAGGAGGACCTAGCCAGCCACAACAACCTCATAACGCAATACTGCCTTGATCTGGTCCGCAATGTCGTCCAATAGCTCAT